TCATTTGAACTGGTAACATTCAATCTGTTAATGTGAATTTGTATCATTTGGCAATGGCAGCTCTGAATGAGCAGAACTGAAATGGTAGAATTCAGTTTGAATCTGAATTCATTTGAATTGGCAAAATTCAGTCTGAATCTGAGTTGATCTAAATTTGATGCATTCAGTATGACTATGACTCAGTCTTAATTAGCAACATTGTCTAAATCTGAGTTGATCTAAATTGGCAACACTGAATTTGAATCCGAGCTGAACTAAATTAGTAGCATTCAGTTTGAAACTGAATTCACTTGAATTAGCAACATTCATTCTGAATCTGTGTTAATCTGAATTAACAAACATTATGTCTGAATATACAATACTGAAGCATTCAGTTTGAATCTGAATTAATTAGAATTGGTAACATTTATTCTGAATTTGGGTTAATGTGAATTGGTAGCCTTTACTCTGAATTGGCATCTTTTGTTATGAATATGAGTTACTCTGGATTAACAACATTCTGTCTGAACTGGAGTTAATCTGAATTGGTAACACGTACAGAATGCTTATACTATATTCAGTCAGTCTTTAACTACACTTTCACTCAGTTGTCGAGTGTATCGCAGTCTTGAGAGTCTAGATCTAAAATAAGAAAGCATATTGGACAAGACACAGATGACACGACACGGCGTGTTAATGTCAGACTCATAAAAGCTCACTCTTCAGCACGCTTCACCCTTCATATTTACTCCACCCGTCTGTCTCTGCTCTGTCGTGACCCTGACCTCTGGTCTTCAGCCTGGCCGTGTGCCTGCTTTACAGTGACTTCGTTGGACTGCTCTGAAAGGTTGGGTCTGTAACTAGATTCTGAGCTGCTAAAGGTCAAAGGACTTCATCCAGTTCATCCCATTTGACAGAGAGGGAGCTGGGTATATTTAGAGTGGCAGGAGAGGGAAGAGGATCTCAGTCCTCAGAGACCTTTCATCATTAGGTTTGAACCATGACATTAACTACAGTGCTATGCAGAATGTGTGAGTCTGTAATTACTCCGAGTGTTTAAGCCGAGCTGCTCACAGACAGCAGACGTTCTCGGGGCAAAACTTATGTAATATGGGGGAAAATTCACAGTGGAATATTGAAAATTAAAACAAAACCTTTTTATTTTGCATATTTTTTATTAGTTGCCAGACTTTATGGGTTTTTCAGTAGGGGTTTCTCAATAGAAAATAAAAACAATTTAATCATAAAATTACTATTGTATCACATTAATAAGTGCAGTTGCTAATAATATTACACGTTTATTTCTTGGCAATGCACAACATACAGCACTGAACTTGAGTTGGGAAGCATACAAAATTTACTTTTATTAACAACATTAACATTTTTATAAGAAAAAAATATATATATTCTACTCTTATTAAATGTACCATTATTCTTCTATAGTATTATGCTGAACTGACCAACAACTATAGTGATTATAAAAGGAGCACTCTTTACTTGCTTTATGTGTGATTCAGTTGCAAATTGAAGAATTGAAGAAGTTTGTTTTTCAAGGCACTTTGTGACTTCTTACTGAATACACAAAAAAGTGCAAAACTTTGACAAAATTTGATTTCTTGATGATTTGATATTTTATAATAGTGATTTTTATGATCTCAAAATACAAAGCAAAAAAAGTGGAAATAAATGACTAAGCCAACAAGTGCTCCTCTGCTGCCATCTACTGGTTATAGTGGTAATTTGATGTCTTTTTTAATTTTAAATAAGTGTTTGTTTACCAAAAAGTATATTTTGGTCGTCACATTAAAAAA